TGAGCTGTATTTGGATATCTTTCAGCATTTTTTGACGCCTACAATGACAAACAATTTACAAAAAAGATATATGCATGAATAAAAATGAATATATAAATTATAATTCACATGCATACAAACAAGGAAATGTATACTCATAATATTTCTCCCCCTTTGACAACATCAAAAAGGGGAAAACAACAAGAATGAAGAGAGCGAAAGTTCCCCCTATCAATATGCATGAGTGAGTATAAAACAAGTATAGGGAATAGCTCCCCCTATCAAAATGCCATATAGAATATATGAAATGAAAGCTAAGGCAAAAACATGTGAGTAAGCATAAATGAAAGATATGTTAAACATAACTCACATACAAACAAGACAATGAGAACACATATTAATATGTCATTTATGAAAGAAGTGTCTCATTATACAATTATAAAAACATAGTGTATAAAAATAGATTTATGAAAACAAAGGAATGAGAAAAACATGAGAACCATGAAAAAAGTTTTCAAGTGAAAACAAATCACTCAAATGAAGTCATAATCAAGATTTGAGTCCAAAAACAATGTTTGATCAAAAAAAAAATTTCTTTGTATAACTTGATCAAACCACTCATAGAATACATTATAAGACACGAATAGATGATCCATAAGTACAAACACATAAATATCATCATATAAGTAAAATATAATGAATTCAAAGCAAAAAATCAAAACACAATTTTAAGAGAGACAATAATATCAAGCTCTTGAGCCTGTTTCAACCCATATAAACAATTTTAGCACCGGTAAACAAGTTTTGGGAATAAACACCTAATAAATCTAAGGGGTTATATAAACACAAACCTCTCATCAAAATTGAAACTAATAATCATGAAAACAAAAGAATTGATCAAGGAAAATTGTTTTCATATTCAAAAATTTAAAGTATAATTTTCAAACCAAGAAAATAAAAATAAATAAAAATATTAAAAATCTTGGTTTAAAAGGATTTTGGCACCCAAGCATTCTTGGTGCCGGATTGTTTAGGGACATGACCCCTATCAATAAAGCTCAAAGCCCTAAGGTTATGAATCCTTTTGGGCACATTTGGTGCACTAAACCGGACATAACAATAATTGCTCAAATGACCCTTCCGATTGTAATTTGTGCAATGAAAGAGACTCAATTGTTTTTGTGGATCATATGCTCGTGCACGAGAACCAATTGCAAACAAAGATTGTCTTTTAAAATTATTTTGTAAATGAGAAACATTATCAAACAAAGGTGGTTTACTTGAGAAATTTGGTAAGTTTGAACATTTTTTTAAATCATAACAAAACTTCCCCAAATGGCCAAATCTATCACAAATATTACATTTAAACACATGAGCATGCTTATGATAAACATGATGAGTATGTGCATGTGTATGTACAAAATGTGATGATGATGAAACTTGATGGGATGCATAATTATGATTATTTATTGTAGGTTTTTGTGCATCATAGCAAAATTTAGCAAGATGGCCTTTTCGACCACAAATAGAGCATTTGTAAATCTTGCTATACATGTGTGCATAGTGAGTGTTTGATTTGGAAGTGTTAACACAAATAGAGCATTTGTAAATCTTGCTATACATGTGTGCATAGTGAGTGTTTGATTTGGAAGTGTTAACACGGGACTTTGCACACAAGTCCTAGTGAGTGTTTGATTTGGAAGTGTTAACACGGGACTTTGCACACAAGTCCATAAGCTTATCATGATTAGCAATACACATTTTAAGGGTTGAATCTAAAGATGATATGTGATCCTTAACATGATTCAACTCATCATTATGCATACAAGTATTGTTGTTAGAAGTAAAACATATATAGTCATTTATAAATGAAGCAGTATCATTTTTATGTTCTTACCTCTAACATGGCATTAATCTTAGCATGAGATAAGCCAGTAATGGATGAGGTTAATTTTTTATTTTCCAAATTTAACAAGTCATTGTTTTCTTTAAGCATAGTATTTTCAATTTTTTATTTTCCAAATTTAACAAGTCATTGTTTTCTTTAAGCATAGTATTTTCTTTTGCAATGACATCAAATTTGGACACTAGCTCCTCATGATCGGATTTTAATACAACATGCTTGCTTTTTAAATTTATAAAGTTATTATGCAACTTAGTGTAGGCATGCATTAACCTATCATATGAACATGCGAGTTCATCTATAGATAAATCACATTCGGATTCGGACTCGCTTACCACACTAGGGTTATCGCCTAGTGGCCGTGTGCATGATGCTCCTTTTGAACTTAAAGCGGGATCCTCCAAAGCTTGTCGGATCGCCTCCAAGTCCCCTTGATGTGCTTCTATGAATTTTCACAATGTATAAGTGCTATCAAAAGAATCAAGCTTGTTAGAAAAAGATGAATCAAAAGCGTTACGCAAAAATTCTAACAAAAGCTTATTCATTGTAAACATCTTATGATCATTTTTACTCCACTTGAATTTCTCCGTAGTGGGTACAATATAAGCACAATCAATAACTTTCCACAAATCGATATTTTTAGATTGAACAAATATTTTGAATCTAAAGCACCATTGATTATAGGGGAAAGCATTGAATTTTGGAGCAACACTAGGATCATAGCCTAAAGAAGATGCACCATACATATCCATAATTATAAAAATATGCAAGAAATATGCAAATACAATTAAAACTAGATTAGCACAAAAAGATAACTTGGATCTTTAACTCAAGGTAATTAGACCTTAAATCAAAGAGCACCAAGCTCTGATACTAATTGTTAGACCCTAAGGTCGCTATGAAAAAACCCTAGAGGGGGGGTGAATAGGGTTTATGCTAATCTAATCCAATTTATACCAAATTAAAACTTATTAACAAATATCCTAGTAAATGAGATATGAACAATATATGTGCAAGGATATACAAGTAACACAAGGGTGAAATAAACATAAAGAAGATAAACAAGATAGTGGGCAATATAAAGAAAGAGCACTTGACAAAGGCGATATAAACAATAAGCACGAATATAAATGAACGCCAAAGACAAACACAAACAAACAATATGATCACAGAGTTCAATCCCCACGACCTACGTCTCCACTCCTCACCTCGAGGAGATCTTCACTATCACAACTGGGTTTTCTACGCTCACCCGAATAACGTTTACACCTCACACTCGGTTTTCTAGCTAACCGAAAACTTTACAATCCATACTCACTACCACCTCAAGTGTTGGTCTCTATCCCGTATCTCTCTCAAGTGTTAGGAATTACAACCTCTCTCTAGGTATTATCACCTACCACACTCCTCTTGGGACGACCCCGTCTCTCACCACACACTCCTCTTGGTGTACTAGTGTAATACAAAGTGTTCAACACAATTAGGCTCACAATACAACAAAATTGTTATCTATAATAGATGAGAACTCAATGTAGGCTCACTCTCTAAGTCACACAATCCCACAACATAATTATAAAATGTATGCAAATACAATAAGCTCAATGGTTGTGTGTGTACAAAGAGATAAATAAAATCAACTAAACTCAATATAAACACTAGCTTAATAAAATAATAATCAAACAATAAAATGTAAAGCTAGATTGAGTTTAGAAAACTTCTCCAATAAATGACAAGAGTGAGAGAGAGATGATTTGAAGCTCAAACACCAAAGATTATCTCCTCAAGCCCTTGTGAAATTATCTTCACAAACCAAACTCTTAAACACACTTAGAAACCCTTAAACAAACTTGTAAAACTCTTTAAAACTTTTCTCTTGGTTAGATGGGAGAGGTAAATGCAATGGGGTATTTATAACAACCCAAGACATCAGTCAAAACCCAACTGAAAAGACAAAAAAAGCCCCCAAAAAACACTGCTGGAAACTAGCCGTTACTGTACAACGGCTCTTTCATATGTCGACTTATGAGTCGACTTATGAGTTGACTTATATGAGTCGACTCAGCAGAAGAAAAATTATAACTGTGCTACACTTCGTGAGTCGACTTATGAGTCGACTCATGAGTCGACTAAACATGCACGGACCTGAAGTACACAGAAAAACTCAATTTTAAACTGGATTTAAAAATATCAAATAAATTCCAAAAAAATATAAAACTTTAGGAAATGATTGTAAACATGATAATAAACATGTTACAAAAACTGATTTTTAAAAAGGACTTCCCAAATGTAAAATATCATCATTTTTCAAAATAGTCCAAAAACATGAAAACTAAACATACATGTTTTTGACATTTGACTTAAACAAACTTTTGAAACTCTACAAAATAATTTTATAGACTTAAAGAAAGATGTAAACTATTGTTATGAAGTCTATAAACAATGAATATAATATTTTGTCAAATACAATTAAATATGAAACATATGAGTATGTATATGAATATATATTTGTTTTATATCTATGAAATTAGATCAAACCAACTTATCCACATAAAAACAAATATGTATAAATATAAATATTTATTTATATGCTTGTAAAAACTTTGTTTGTGGATAAACCAAAAGCCAAGATGTGTATATATATATATATACATAGAAAACAATAAAATGTGTGTGTATATGATATTGAACTTAAAGTACTAACACACATAATATAAACTCCTAAACTAAATGTTATCCAAGCAATCTTGATCTTCAATACGCTTGACTTGGTACACTATGCGGAAGAAGCTTGAACTTGGATCTTCAACTTAAATTGCAAGGCTTCACTCCACTATTCCGCCAACCTCCATTGGATATGATCGTGAATGCGTAATTCCATCCATCCTCCAATTTATTGTTTGTCTATAATAAATAACAAAACACAAACACTAGACAAATAATATTAGATGTAAATTATTTGTTAAATCATCATCAAAATAAGAAGGCCAACAGTGAGTATATGCCCGAAATAGGAATGCTATTAGGTATGAAATAAATCAGCCAGGGTCAATAAAGATGAAAGAACATAAAAGAATACAACATACCTCTCAACATGATATTTTTTATCACAGAATTCATCCTACTTTGCATTCATGATTATGCCTATATAATTTTCCACATGGATATATAGCAAACCAGTCACTTGCCATTTTCTGCAGCTGCATGTTCTCTCCTTCAAGTTAATATTCCTTCTCTCATACTCATTTTCAACTTCAGCCTCATCAACATTTGTTTGTCCCACTAAATAAGAACCAAGATTCTTACTGATTTCTTGGCAATATCTATTAGCATATGGCACTAACTTACCCTTCCACTTCAAGCCTATTTTCCTTCTCTTGTTGAATTTGAGCATCAGTTTGGCCCTTAACTTGTCAACCAAATCCACAACTGGTAAATACCTTGAATCAAGTATCCATGAGTTAAAGGACTCAGACAGATTGTTAGTGAGGTAATTGTTCTTAGATATTTCAAAAAAATGACGTCTAGACCACACAAATTTATCCTTTGCATGCAAACTGAGAAATGCTTCATTTGAAACTTCACCCAACTGTAACATATGTACGGTGAACACATATGATGTGTATGCCCTTGCAGCCCCCCATATGCATTGTTCATAAAACTCACCAAGAAAGTTTTTTTTGAAATTTTTCCACGTGTCTCATACACACCCTCTGCTCAGCTTCAGGAAGTAGTATGGAAATTAACTCTAGTAGTCTCTTCTCTTGATCGCTAATAACACTAACCTGACCAAGCTCACTATTAAAAGCTTTAATAAGATTTTTCAAGAACCAAAACCAATTGTCACTTGATTCCCCTTCAAATGTAGCAAATGCAAGAGGAAATAAACTATGATTTCCATCCAAACTTGTAGCACACAACATATGCTTCCCATATACTTGGACCTTAAGTGGCAGCCATCAAATCCTATAAATGGCTTGCACCCTTTCCTAAACCCCTCCATTGATGCTCCAAATCACACAAACATTCTCTCAAATGCACGATCTAGACCAATTTGAACTTCTACATGACTTCCTATATTTCTGTTCAATAGCTCATACTTTAGAGAAAGTACATGGTCATAAGATTCTTCAATATTACCAAATATCATTTTTCTTGAAGCCTCTCTAGCTCTCCAAGCTTGGTCATATGATATAATCATTTTATAATCCTTTAACATGGTCCTCTGTATATCTTTGGGAGCCAAATTAGGATTATCTTTGACATCTTTAAGTATAACTGTTGCCATCCATTTAGCACTAGCTTGATTATTTTTACTCTTATTCACCCCAGTGTATGAGTGTTGTCCTATATACCTAGTAATCTCCTTTGTTTTGCCATCATGCAAAACCTTAGCTCACAGCTTCCAAGGACAACCCTCTTGACAACATTTAGCAAATAGCCTCTTAGTGTCATTCTTCACCAAATTAAAATTAAAATTTTTCTTCACAACAAAATATTTAAAATAGAGTCTCAAATTAGCCACATCAGGGAATTTTCTACCTAAATCAAATATAGAAATACCCTCATCAGTGTTGTTCTCTTCACCATCAAGCATACCACCCTCAATTACATCATCATCATCACTACTATATTCCTCTGCTAAACTATGAATAGAGTGGTAACCATCATCAGAACAAATTTCATCAGCATCATCAGTCATATTTACTTCCTCAACCTCCTCATCATGAGCTCTAGCCTCCTCCACTGCAATTTTCTCTAGGTGGGCATGCTAATTATCTAATTGAGCTACCCTCTAATCTAGAATCCCCTTCATTGTCATCATGCATATCAAACATCATCTGAGTTGCCTCCCAATCAATTGCATTGTCAAAATCAAAGCCTTGATCCTCAATATCTGCTGAGTTAGCATCATCTAATGGCACATATTTGTCATCATCAACACCTTAGTTTTCCATCTTCACTAGATAAATCATCAAGATCAACATGTTTAATCCTCTTAGATTTATTTGATCCCTCTCTTGGTGAATTCCTTCTTCTCTGTGACACTGGAGCCCTCCAAGACTTGGAATAGGTTCTAATGACACAAACATTTGAACATACCTCCTTCCTACATGATTTCTCAACACACCCATGAAAATCCCAGTTGTTTTAATCTCCCTAAAGACTCTAGGATTTGTGTCAGGAATTGCATAAAATATTTTAGTATATGACCCCTAGAAATAGGCATAAATTCTGCTGTTAGTTCCCCAAATTTTTTCAGTGACATACTACCAACATCCACTCTAATGGTTCTTTGATTACCACATTCATATTTCTTCCTCCCTGTCGTAGGAATATGTCTCCAATACCCATTGTACCTACTTACAATCTCAACAACTCCTACTTCCATCCTACAATGTCAAAAAAGCCTCATTCAAGTACCCAAAAAACACTGCGGAAAAAACAACAAAAAAGCCTCATCCACCTTGTATAAAACCAAAACCCAGAAATCAACAAGTTAAAGAAACCACAATACCAAAGCAACATTTAACTTGCATGCATGGAAAATGTATAAAAACTAAAGTTAAAGAAAGTTACCTTCAAATTATGCAATGAGGGCTCCTCCACCTTGTCTTCACCAAACTCTGCCCTAATTTAGGGAAGGGGATGTTGATCTTCCTGCAAAGACAACCCCGTGTGAGATTGGAGAGAAATCAACAAGTTGTCCTAGATTTTCGTCGAAGATTTTTCCCCTTTCAGAGAGCAGGAAAAACTAGGGGCAACTAATAGCCTTCAGAACAATAACGTACACCCAAGGTCAATAAGCTCATTTCTCATGTATGGTTACTGTTGTGCCTGAAGCTGTGTCGAGGAACCAAGCCAAACGCCAATCCAAGAGAGCTAAACGAACCAAATATCAATGCACAAATAAAACACCAATTTTAACGTGGTTCGGCAAGTTGCCTACGTCCACGGGGCAAGGGGGGATGGGGTTTTCACTAATAGAGAAAGAGTACAAACTGAGATTACAAATCACTCGAAGGAACAAACTAATCTCACCACAAAGCTCTCAATCTCTCCAAATAAAACCCTAAACAAATAGCTCAAAAATACCTCTTTTTGTGCTCCAAATAGCCCCCAATCAATGCTTAATCAAAGCCTAAACCAAGCCTAGGAAACCCTAAAAAACGTGTCTCTATTTATAGCAAAACACAATCCCAAACTGATTGAGATTCTAAAAACGAGTCTGCCACACCCTACACCATGGGTGTGGCAGAGGGTGTGGTGCAGGACAGATTCCGCCACACCCTGCACCGTGCGTGTGGCAGAGGGTGTGGTGCAAGACAGATTCTACCACACCCATGGCAGACACCACACCAGGGTGTGGTGGAGTCTGTTTTGGGTTATTCTTCACGTTTTTCACAATTCCTTCGCCGTTTTCACAATTCTCCACCTCGGCGAAGTGTTCCCAACACTGAGCCGACACCAACCAAAACAAATACCTCACTTGTTGCATCCAGTACGCCACGGCAACGGACTCATGACAATGGACTCCATCCACACAAGTCGAGACCCAAACGGGAGTGCGAACACTCACCCAAACGTCGGTATCTACTCACCAAATCGGCTGCATCAAAACTGACTGCCTACGTATCCTCTTGCCCAAGGAATCAAGCCTTCACATAGTTCACCCAAACGGCCTCCAAAGGCCCTCAAACAAATAGAAAAGTCTGTAACTCTTCCCCAATATCGCCAATGGATCTGCAACTAATAGCGGCCCCAAACTGATACAAATCAAACACCTCAATCTGAGGTGAACCAATGGCCGTATCCAAATCATATCCACCAGCTGCAACCAAATCCAAAACCAATCCATCATCTGCATCCGAAATCAAATGATCCCCAACCTGTGTCACCTCAGCTGGAATCCCAAATGACGCAGTATGATCTGGAGTATGTGGAATAAGTTCCACCCAACGTGAAGTAGCATCACCCTCCACCTGCTGCGATATCCAAACGACCTGATCAACACTCTCCACCTGCCGAGAGTCAAAAATGACATTCTTGCTCAGAACAAAACCAGAAGCTCCCAAACGATAATCAACTGAGCCTCCGAACCCCAAACGCGTAATCGGATCAAATCTCACATCCTTGATGTGACCAAATGCTGGGTATCCAAATATCCGACGCAACCCAAAATCTGAAGCAGCTCCACAGATCCAATAACTCCTAATGCAGCAGTCGGCGACCTGTGACTAAGATGACCCAAATATGTCGAAGCTCCAGAACCAATGCTCGACAACCAACGCCGATCCTCCTTCAGAAAGGAACGACCCATCGAAACTGTCATCTCATCTCGTCGCCCCAAAGTCTCCACACCAATGAAGTGTCTCCTATTGCCGTGAGCTCGGCACAAACGCAAGAAAGGACCCTTATCAAATCTAGAACAACGAGTTACCTTTCTGCCAATACACTTCTTCCAATTGTTGTTGACTTCTAAGACTTTACACCAACGGGAACTGGTCACGACCCAATAATGCCTAGAACAATCTTCAACTGCGGAAACTAAGATATGATTACCTCCCAATGATGCCTCCTTGGAAGGCCCCCAAATGCCTGACTGAACAACTGGTCACGACCCAATAATGCCTAGAACAATCTTCAACTGCGGAAACTAAGATATGATTACCTCCCAATGATGCCTCCTTGGAAGGCCCCCAAATGCCTGACTGAACACCTCCTAAAAGACCCCTCGCTCGATGGATAGGAATGCCAAACTCCACCACGGTCTTGCTCATCCCAATATGCTCACAGGACATCACAATCATGGACCCAAATGTACCCTTCAAGCGTGCATCCGCCAAGGTCACCCTATAGCCTGCTGCCTCCAAAGCTCCAAGTGAAATGATGTTCTTCTTCAACTGAGGAACGAACCTCACTCCAACCAACTCCCGAATCACCCCGTCACTCATCCTGATCCGAACGGTACCGATACCACCAATAGAGCATTTGTGATCATTCCCCATGAGCACGAAATCCCCTCTTTCCAACTCCTGAAAGCTGGAGAACCAATCCCTCCTAGGGCAAATATGGTATGTAGCCCCCGAATCCAACATCCACTCTGTAGAGTAGACAACACAAACTGACGGCAGTGCAGATAATGAGTAGCCCGAAGAATCCGAATCTGAATCGTTGCCACTAGCCTTGACAACATTCGCCTCTGAAGCTTGAATAGCTTTTCCCTTATTCTTCCTGGCTCGATCAACTAACTTTGGGCAATCGGCTTTCCAATGTCCATCTTCTTTGCAAAAGGCACATTGATTCTTACGAACTCCAAGATGTGCCCCTCTAGACTGCGACCTCCCACTACGGTTTGGACCCTTTGCTCTTGCGACCAACGCCCCCGCTACCGGCTCAAACGAAGTCTCCTTATCCTTCTTTCGAAGCTGATAATTCACAAGTGCAGCGGTGACCTCACTATACGAAAGAGATGCTTTCCCATTAATAAGAGTAAGAACGAAGGTCTCATATTCCTCGTCAGGCAAGGAACTCAACAACAACAACGCCTTGTCCTCATCTTCAATCACCACATCTACATTCGTCAAATCCGCAAGAAGCTTCGTGTAGTGGTTCATGTGATCACCAATGGAGGTTCCTTTCTTCAACTGGAAGCGGTAAAGCCTCCTCTTCAAATGCAAGCGATTCTCCACACTCTTGGTCAAATACTTGCTCTCAAGGATCTCCCAAATCTTCTTTGCAGAAGTCTCATTGATCACATCATACTTTAGATCTTGAGTGAGACAAGACCTAATCACACCACACGCCGTTCTATTCATTTTTTTCCAAACCTTCTCATCAATATTGTCCGGTTTCCCGTCCAACTCCAACGTATCTTCCAAATTTTGCGCGTTGAGCGCATCCATGACTTCGCATCGCCAAAGTCCAAAATTGTTTGTGCCATTGAACTTTTCCACATCAATCTTCATTGAGTGGATATTCAAGCTTTGGACGGTCTTCACGCCGGAAGTACTGCCCACAACTCCTTCTTTCTCGGCCATAATCCTCAAAACACCACCAAACCAATGCGGAAACAAACGAGAAATAGATCCAAACTGAAAAAGACGAGATTTTTACTAAAAAGATCCCACCTTTATCACCAAACGAAGCCCTAGATGAACTTCCAAAGCGATCTACTCCTCTAAATAGCCCAAGCGTTGCCCGAGCTCTGATACCACTTGTTGTGCCTGAAGCTGTGTCGAGGAACCAAATCAAACGCCAATCCAAGAGAGCCAAACGAACCAAATATCAATGCACAAACAAAACACCAATTTTAACGTGGTTCGGCAAGTTGCCTACGTCCACGGGGCAAGGGGGGATAAGGTTTTCACTAATAGAGAAAGAGTACAAACTGAGATTACAAATCACTCGAAGGAACAAACTAATCTCACCACAAAGCTCTTAATCTCTCCAAATAAAACCCTAAACAAATAGCTCAAAAATACCTCTTTTTGTGCTCCAAATAGCCCCCAATCAATGCTTAATCAAAGCCTAAACCAAGCCTAGGAAACCCTAAAAAACGTGTCTCTATTTATAGCAAAACACAATCCCAAACTGATTGAGATTCTAAAAACGAGTCTGCCACACCCTGCACCATGGGTGTGGCAGAGGGTGTGGTGCAGAACAGATTCTGCCACACCCTGCACCGTGGGTATGGCAGAGGGTGTGGTGCAAGACAGATTCTACCACACCCATGGCAGACACCACACCAGGGTGTGGTGGAGTCTGTTTTGGGTTATTCTTCACGTTTTTCACAATTCCTTCGCCGTTTTCACATGGCTACTTGTTAACCTAACTATGGTTAAAGAAATTAACAACTTTTGTAACAGAAGGATCAAATGGCAAGGAAATTGGAGATTTAAGGGACTAATAAGCAAATAATGGGATTTAAGGGACTATTTGGTAATTATGTTTGATATAAGGGATTAATATGCAATTAATCAATTTAAAAATGATGACATATCTCCTGATAGTAAGCATACATGATTCAAGAGACGACTTAAAATTGACAAAGGTTTGAACGTACTGATTACCCAATTCAACATTATTACAAAAATATTTACAACCAATCTCAGATGTCTTCAAGTTACAAATTTCTTGTATACAAGTCAAATTGCTGGGCCTAAGCTCCATACAGAAGTGTTTCGATTCCAGACATTGCAGCGTCCTGCGAATACGGTCACCTTTTTTTCACATCTTGAATGCATCATTCGTAAGTAACCAAGATAAGAAAAGAAGAGCTTCTTTTATACCACCATTGCATAAGAGGGCCTATGTGCAAAAGTACAGGCCTACAAGGTGAAGACCTTAGGCTGATTGGTAGCTGAATTCTCGAATACAGCAAAGCAGCATTGAAATATTATCAAGTATGGAGGTGAATCCTTGTAGTCAAATCATTCATCCAGGCTGAACCATCAATCTGTCACTGATAGAATTTCATGCAAGCCTATGATGAAATGAACACCGGTCTCTATCACTAATCCTGGAATAGAGCAGGACTTAAAGCATCAAGGCAATCTCTCAGGCAAGAAAAGATAACGAAATCGAGCATCAAATGGTAGTACACCACAATTTCTTGAGCCTAGGAAGCTCTGCCGCCTCTGCGAAACACATTGTTCGACAAAGGCTGCTTGTTCCTGCGGAAGGAAACGGGATATCCAGATTGCTAGCTTAGAATCATCTACAAGCGCTCTGGCAAAAGACTGAACCATCTTTGGCACCAAAAGCTTCCCTTTACTGCTCAGTCCAACTGAGGCCCGGATGAAATCTCGTTGAGCTTCTTGGAGCTCGTCCTTCAAATTTCTGGGTGTGTAAACTTTTACCTGCAATCCAAGTGTAGACTTTCAGATTTCTTCCGAGTGATTAATTGAGTTACATGTGAAATTCTCTAAAAACTTGTGAGTAGCAGTTAAGGAAAACATTGCAACATAGTTATAGATCAAAACTCGTTGCTCATTTATCCGTGAAGAGAACCTTTCATGTATGTCAATGTTCTTTTCAAAATTTTGTTAAAAGAAACTTGTTGACCTAATTAAAAACTGAGAGCTAACTAGAAAGGGATATGATTTTGAATAATACAACACACAAGAACTGAAATGGTTAAAACAAACAAAACTATATAGGTACAGACAATATTACCGCTGGAGAAGAGTATGATCCACAGCTTAAAGCAAAGGTCACAAGTGGCTCGGGTGTTTCAATTGCAAACTTCTTCTGTTCCTCAGAGACCTTTGGCTTCTGAAGAGCAAGAAGCAAAGCCTGAAGATAAGAGAAAACAAAAAAGTATAAACATTGTGGGGTTTTGAAGGAAAATGGTAGTTTGAAGAACAGAAAGAGAAATTCATACAGTTTGGGGCCGATGGACTGGTGGCTTCATTTTCAATATTACATACTCAATGCATGTAGCAGTAAATGAGTGTCCTCCAACTGTATATGCTGCCTGAATTAAGAAAGAATATAATGAGAAATGTGTAATACGCATGGCAATTGCACAAACTACCGATACATTTCATGAGTATTCTCTGAAATTTCCTAACTACGCAAGCATAAGGTCAAGATATATTAGAATCCAATTCAGCTTGTCACAGTTAAGACAGAAAACATGTAACTTATCGATTTATCATAACTCTTAAAGAGTCCCCATTCCCCTTTATCCACTTCTGATTATTTGTAATCACTAATCATTCATTTTTATTCTATCTAAGTTAATGATTGTTGTCCAGACCTTCTCCAGTCATAAGTGGGTCATCTATCGATCAGAAATTTAACTTAGGTCCCTACCAAGAACCCCTCTCAATCCTCCATTTGATGGGGCAAGAGAGGGCCATTTTATCAAGGTCCACTTGCATGTGGGAACTACCTTATTAACAATATAGTTTAAGCCCATCAAACCACAGAGAATCGGAGCATTGCATCTGAATTGGTAATTTCAAAAATTAACATTAATCTTTTTTATTTACCTTTAATTGCATCAGAAAATTTAGAATTCACTAGGAAACTACCAATATAACCTATAATACATCATAACCATTATTTTAAGCTATTTTTTCCAATCAAAAAGCATCTTCCAGTGACCACCCAAGAGCTTACGAAGAAAACATTGCATGTGAGTTAATGGCTAAATAAGCATTGGTTATGAAATCTAAAAAAGTTCTTGATTGTGATTATTTAGAAGTCTGGATTGTATAAATAAATTTGATTTCTGCATAAGAATAATGACAAAGACATGTCCAGATGTGGGTCACTGATCATGGATACATGACAGACATGAGACTAGGCAGCTCCTTAAAAGGAAGAAAATAGGCAATATGACACTAAAACATATATAAATAGCAAAATAGAGTTCATATGCATGTGCATGCGTGTACTTGTGTACGCGCATATGTGCCCCTCAATGTTCACATATTCTTAATAATACAAAACATATAATGGTTACAAATATACTGATTAACCTACCACATATTTTTATGGTTCCCCAAACAGAATTAACTCCTGGCTCTTCATCTTGCATAGATCAACTCAAAGCATCTCACTTATATTAAGACATAGCTGAACTTATTACAGATTTATACAATTCAGTATTTTATGGCTTTTTCTAATAAAGTATATATTTTTGTATAAAGGAAAGTGAATAAATGGTATCACATGCATCGTAAATTGCATGGAAACGGATACAGATACCAGCATGGGTGTGAGTACATGACACAGTTAATTTGTAAAATGTAGGGCACAGGGACATAGCTATATATATATAGAGAGATGTGAACTTATGTCAACTTAAGTGGACAAGAGGCCTTTGTCCACCAAACTTTCTATTCACTTCATATATATATACATATATTATATATATATATATATATATATATATATATATTTATATATATAATATATATATATATATATATATATATATATATTATTATATATATATATATATAATTCTTCATATCTTGCATGGAGCCTAGGTATATCAATTGATAAAAGTTGGGTGGATGGTCCACTTAAGTGTCATACGAATTTCTCTCTCTCTCTCTCTCTCCTCTCTCTCTATATATATATATATATATATATATTATTATATATATATATATTATAAATTATTATATCGATTAATAATTTTTATGAGACTATTATTGTTTTCCGATTCATTTGTTATCAGAATTAAAATTCCTATCATATTTTAAAGTTTCTTTTATTATGTTAATTATTATAAATTAAAAATTGCACATTTTTTAACTAAACACCCAAAAAATCCATTAAAATCATAGGTTTAAACTTGGATACAGGCTGAAACAAACCTAACCCATGTCTAACAACCTTTAAGAAATGGATGCTAAGTCTAGGATATGCATCCAAGAAATGTATGACAAGTGTTTTAAATTAAAAACATATATCACGTAACTGAGTACATGTCTTAAAAAAGGTAAAATTATGTCAAAGCCCCAATATGAAGAACCCCATGCGAGTAGCCCCTTTAACCTTTCACCATTATGGGTCAGACCCAAAAAACTCAATTAATGTATTTGGGCTCCTCCACATCAGCTATATAGATTAAAGCCATGGTATTTCATCATAAACCCTAAAATGCCCTTCTCCTTCCCAATGACGCAGTGATCAGATGGTGGAATTGGAGGAAAATTTTCCTCTATTTTTCTCTATCATGAACAATAACTCTTTATGTAATATTTTAGGGTTTTTGCCCTTCAACTATCAGTACTCCTATTGTCCTAAAATTCTCTTCATTCCTCCTTCAGTCCTTCTACCTTCCTTCCATTAATGACTGAGAAGGCTATCTGCATGGTCTCCATAGGTGAGAAATCAGCTTTCTCAATAATTAACTCTTCAACCACCATCATAGTTGCGCGATTCCCTAGACCCCCCTCGAAGTGTCGAACAGTTCATGCAAACTGATTCTCTATACATTTTCGAACCGATTCCCTCTGATACACGAATTAGTTCCCCAAAATTAGCGTACCGCTTACTAAGTACCAAAGTTGATTTACAAGTCTGTTTTCGTGCACATCGGCAAGGATTTTTTTATATGTTTTGATAATATCATTGAAAATATTCTTTTAGTAAATAAAAGTTTTCCAAAGTTAATAACTAATTCTATATCACTATTTCTTTAATTGAAATATGTATGGAGACAAGATAATAAATTATCAATATGAGTGAATGACTTTATTACAACTTACAAAATAGCTAATGTTAATAACACATGAAATGAAATAATCATCTCAGTAAAAACTATGTGAAAAGATTTTTTTAAAATGAACTCTAAACAACAAAAAAGAAAAAAAGAATTGAAACACATAATTAGTTTTCTAGTGTTTTCAGTTTATGTATTCAGAAACTTTAAAAATGAAGTATTGAAGTATTTTATATGAAAAAATATTGAAACACAATTAGTTTTCTAGTTTTTAATTTTCTACTATACACTTTAAAAAATGATAAACGTATCCAAAAAAATTACATCGTACCCTATATCGAACTTGCGTATCGAAGCAAGCTACCCCCCATCGAATCCAAAATTTCAAAGTCTCGAATTGCATACCCAAATTCGTATGACGACTCGCTACATACTGTGAACCATGTAACTATGACCACAATTATGAAACTAAAGTTTGATGTGTCAGAGAAGTTAAAACTTCCATATGATTCTTTATTGTTGGCATTCAAAGATGAAACAAATAGTAACTTTAATTTTCCTATTGAGAACGAAGATGGTTTGTCGTATATGGTGGAACATAGCAGCAATATTGGGTGTAAAGAGATTCATACGAAAGCTTTTCAAAAAACAGAAGATTCGACTTCCCACAATTCCTAAAAAGTTCGACAAGACCTGTAAATTATCAGTTTTTTCAAAAAGAAATTTATGGTTTCTATTTGTACATCGTAACATGATAAAAATTTAAACAAATACCTTTTAAGTGTGACTAGTAACATGTTAAGTATATGTGTTCATATGTTATGTTTATGCAGCTGGATGTTAAGTTCAATAGTTTTGATGTTAAGTTCAATAGGTATGATGTTAAGTCTAATGGGTTGGATGTTAACTCTAAAAGGTTGTATGTTAAGTCTAATTAGTTAATTGTTAAGCATAAGAGGTTGAATATTAAGTCTAATGAGTTGAATGTTAAATATAAGGGGTTGTATGTTAAGTCTAATAGCTTGAATGCTAAGTATAAGTTGTTGTATGTCAAGTCCAATGAGTTGTATGTCGAGTCCAATGGATAGGGTGTTATTTCTAATGGGTTGAATGTTAAGTCTAATTAGTTGAATGTTAAGCCTAACGGGAAGAATGTTAAGTCTAATAGAAGAGTATTAAGTTAAAGCGGTAGAATGTTAAGTCTAAGAAAAAGAATGTTAGTCTAATGAGAAGAATGTTAAGTCTAAGTGGTTGAATGTTAAGTCTAATAGGAAGATTGTCAAGTCTAATGGGATGAATGTTAAGTCTCGTTTGTTAACTATAATAGGTTCGATGTTAGTTTTTGTAGCTAGGATGTTAAGCGTGAGCATTCACTTGTTTAGTTTTTATTATTTGTTGTTGATTTTGTATTCTGAATATTTTCTAAAAATATGCAGCATTGCCCCCACATTGCTCATGAAGTGCGACCGACGACGCAAACTTTGTTTCAGTTGTGTTTAGACTGTTTTTCACGACCGCCTTCGTCTTTCCACTGCCGTACATTACATTGAACGACTTCGAAATCATGATTAGATACTTCCTTAGATGTCATTTCACTCAGCAAACGCTAACCCTAAGTTGAAACTCAAGAGGGAGAAAGAAATAGAATTTGGGATTTTTGAGTTCATGTTTACAGTAGAAGAGAGAGGGAGAGAGTACTTGAAAGGGGGATTTTTGGGTTCCTGTTAACAATAGAAGAGAGGGAGAGCGTACTTGAAAGGGAGTGGGTGTGGTTACCAATATTGTAATCTCATCTCATAAGGGTGTAGTAGTAATTTTAGGTGGGCTTTCTCTTACACTGCTTACTTGGCAGTCCAACTGGGGCCTTGGCACAAATACTGTTAGTATTTGGGCTAAAACACAAGGCCCAAAATATAAAGGGCTGGTCACATGAGCTAATTCATATTGGGGCCTTGACACAATTTTCCCTAAAAAATGTACATATAAATCCAATGAGTGTCCGTGAAATTGGGTACATGTACGTGTCGGATACATGTCTGGTACATATACTGCTTCATTATATAAGTAGCTGGGTAACATAGCATGTGTCTAATGTGAACAATGAAGTGCATGAGAAGCGTAGGACATGTTCCCATCAAGGACCAAACGGACCAACAAACATTGTAAGACATATATCACATAGTTAAATAGTTAAGGGAAAGTTGGAGAAGTATAAAACATGTATGTGAGGGAACGCACAAGGAAGCGTCAATGTCCAATGTCATGTGATGAGGATGCAACTTCATAATAGAAGTGTATATGCTGCACTTATGCTAACTAATGTAGTAATGCTCATTTTTAAGTAACCATGATGGTGAATGATATAAGATTACAACACAACTTTTCTTATCTTGTTTAAGTTGTCAGACTGCAGTAAGCCATCAAAATTTACTGCACTGTCGTGTCGCCATCAAAATTTACTGCACTGTCAAATGTCATATTGTTACCTTGTTGAGATGTTTATATAGACTTGACTAAATTGAATCAAAATGGTATAACATATGATCCATGATAATTGTTAGCACAACAATAAACTATAGTATTACCAGAAATAGAGTAAAGAAGAGAGTAGGAAAACAATCTGCAAACCTTCTGCATCAGTGAAAAGAGTTTCATGTCACTCCTGGGAACCCCATAGGCTAGATATGCCTGCATATAAATTAAAAAAAAGTTGAGAAAAAAGAGAAACATAGTAAACAAGTTTTAGCTTGAAGGGCTTTACATGCATGATAAGCGCATTGTACAAGTTGATCCAAAAGGCCAGTTTTTCATTGTCACTCAAATGGATTGGATTTACTTCTGCGAGTTGCTCGATTAGTGATCTGTCCTCAAAATGAAGGTGTTAATAATCAACAATTACAGCAGCTACAAATTTAATTTCATTAACTATCAAGAAAGCTACACATCTGCCAAAAAACACTTGAAGTGTATCATGTAAATGAGCCATCAATATTAATTAATGTATAATAAAATAAATAATGTATAACAAAAAATTACATACATTCCTTATTGAGGAAACCATATTTGGACAACATACATTTATCTATTGGAATACAATTTAGCAACATTTAGTACAGAGGTATGCTAACTGAAGCCTAGGAATTCGTTCACGAAGACTCGACTGCATAAGCATTTAGAGGGAAATCAACAGAGCGAGTGCAACCTCACATCTACATATATGTTTAGTGCATGCAGACCATGATGATGTAGATAGTACACTGGATTCTGGAATGGTCCAACATGTGTTTTTGAGCTGCCATATGAACATGCTAAATGCAGCAGAGGAACACAGGACACGATCTAGTTGATGTGGGAAGGCAAAGCAGTCATAATAAAAGAGTGAAAAATCTCATTAATGAACAGAAATTGTCTGTATTATTCTCCCTACAATTCAAGGTACTCTATTCCATACAACTACTTAGTAAAGGTTGGGTTAAGATATTGGTAACGCATAAAGAAAAATTTGAGAAGAAATCTATTGTTTGTAAAAAAACACCTTTAAGTCAAGTCACATGCTCAAAATGGAAAAGTGAAATTTGAAACACATCATAAAGGGAAAAGGAGCAGGGAAAATAGATGCATAACTAGCATAAAAACTAGTGGAGCCACCTCAGATGTCGTTGGCCCGTAGGCGGTAGGCCCTTCAAAAATTTAGAACTTCTCCAAAGCCCTATTTAGGTTGCCCTTCTTCACATGATTAACCTCGATCTGTGACTGCTTTACAATGGAAACACTAGAAAGATTCTATGAAATACGGGGCCATGAATACACTTAAAAAGCGTGTTCCCCTCCTTGCGGTTAAGGTAACAACTTCTCATGAACTATAAGGTAGTTGCATGGTTCTCTTATTGCATTTTTGTTGCCTTTTGTTATTTAATAATACTATTTGCTTATTATCTTGGCCCCTTAAATAATTTCTTGCTTCATCCATGCATAGAACAACAATTCACAACGAAACTTGAGCCCTACATAATGATATTTGAGGGGCTATATTGCATGGATAAGTGTATGGGTACGGATACCGGTATTGGCACTGTTATAAATAGCGGTAAATAGCCCCGCAATAGTGGCGCTAATAGCGTTAGCAGTCCCTTCCCGCGACGCTATCGCCCGCTACGCTATCACGCAATAGCGGTGACACATTACAGAATATGTCTGTTCGTAAAAGCGACCAATAGTGTGTCATAACGGTAAATAGTGAGCGATTGCATTCGAAATTTGCTTTTTAACTGCTATTTAAAAACAGTTTGAGGCTTATTTTTTAAAAAATTAAACTCAACCCTTGACCATTGCATTCCATCATCTCCTGTGATTTTTAGCATACTCCCGCCACCTCTCATAGCCTCTGGCACCTACCTTGATACTTCCTCTCACCTTCTTCACTGTGAGCTCCTCTTAGGACAGTCCTGTCACCGTTAAGCTCTTCTTCTCGAAGACGACTTTTTGACTCCTTCGGTCATCTTCGGTATTACGTGATGGTTACATGTCTATTTCATGTTTAGGATCTCTTTAAATTATCCAATATGTACTTTTAGATTTCTTAGATTTTTTTTTAAATTTTTTTTTTAGTATTTATACATATCTAAATTAGACCGCTATTTGACTTTGCGCTTTTTACCGTTATTTTGTCGCAATAGCCCGAAATAGCCTTAACGATGCCTCACTGCTACGCGACGTTATCCGCTATCGATAACCTTAGGTATTGGTACAAGTATAGGACACGGAAAATTTGTAAAATGTAGGATACAGGAACACGACTAAGACTTATATACACATAAATTATATATTGGAACTAATAACTTATATGAGAACAAAGATGAGAATTAAATTTCCAATAATATTTTTAAGTTTCTTTTGTTATGTGGATTATAAATTGGAAAAACACTAGATTTTGGACTAGACATCTAAACAACCCTTCAAAATCATAATATAGAACCTGACCTATGTCCAACAAGTTTGAAGAAGTGGACGTGAAGTGTAGGATATATGTCCAAAAAATATATGACAAGTGCGTTAAATTAAAACATGTATTGTATAACTGAGTACATGCCTGAATAAATGTATGCATATATGCAAGGAGTGCCCAAGGAGTTTGGGTACCGGTACGTGTCAGGCACAGGTACGGCTTCAAATTAGAAGTACCCAGGTAACATAGTTGAGGGGCCAAATTACCTGAATCTCCTTAGCGCCCCAGCAGCATATTCAAGTTGTTGCTTTCCCACTGACATCCAGGAAACCTCTTTAGCTAGACTATAATTGCCAATGTCATTCCAACTTAATTTTCCACGGACTTTGTAGGGATCAAAAATACTTCCGGCGGCTAAAACTTCATTGCCGCACTGTAAATCAATTTGAGGACTTTGGCTCCACGATGAAAGTGCTGACAATTCAGATAATGACCAACGGGAAGAACTTGAAAGATGTCCTGAGGGAGAGGTGGAAGGCTGAAAGTTCTCTGAGGATATTTTGGAGGGTACAATGGAAGCATCTGCTAATGATATGAAAATGTTCTTCACACACCGCACTATCTCCTCCGATAGCTGATTAGGATAGTTCCGTAACCTCTTTTCTGGAATTTGTTTCTTCAACCTCCCCAATTCTGCACGCTGAAGTATTTCTGGAGAAATATTCTCTTCTTGCATGATCATTCCATCCAAAGTATCCTGAGACATTATAAGTGCGTATCAGAACTAGCTTATAAAAGTTTGTAGGACTTTATTCTTTAGCATACATTTGTCTTTAATGCCACCGGGTATAAGAAGCTTATAATTATTAGTATTTCTTCCATACATTAAAGACCAAAATGCGGACAACTTGTTCGTTTTCTAAAATTAAGTATAATTTCATGTCAACCTGAGCTGTTGACTAACAATCAAGAGGCATGGTATGTAATAATGCAAACTGTTAATGGTGAAATGAACGTGTTTGTACTTCTTAACTCCGCACTCAATGCTCCTTTGTTAGACATGCTATGGTCTCGTAGGATATTTGAATTTCCTAAAGGGGTATTCCAATTAAGATAGGTTGAGATTGATTCCTTTTTATATGCTTTTGAGTTTATAATAATAAAAGATATTTATTGGCAAGACAATGTTACCTTGCATCTGACTATGAATAAAAATGACAGAATTTCAGTAAGAAAAATTTATTTCATACCTTTCGTTGTTCCTCTATCATCTATTCATTTACATAATTTTGTCTTATGAATTAGATAATCCCATTCTTCCAAAAATGGCAAGAGCTAAGTGCAAAGGGTCAAGAATTAAGGTGCTTGTGAGACTTATCTAACTGCTAGCCACACCAAATCTTACTTATTTTTATGGAAAAAAACAAGAAACATAGGTAGCTTCAGAGTAGTGTTTTAACTGGATAGACAAGACAGGTAATCGCCAAAATGCAAGACGGTATTTGGATCCATATCCAAAAATAGAGGGGGAAAAGTATTCAATTGCTAAGACTAAAAGGTATCCTCAGGTACCTAAAATTCCCTATCAACAAAATGAGAGAATGGGAAAGTTAAACATAAGAACTTCCCATGGCAAACAGAAGAAATATGTGAAAGACGTAACAGAAGAACAGGAAAAAAAAAAGGGAATTTAAAACGAGGGAAGCATTGGAATAATAAGTAATAATTCTTCATCTAGGAAATTTAAAAGAACATAAAGCATCTATGTGTATGTCAATATATTAATGAAGTTGATATAGTTGAATGAGAGAGAAGAAAATAAAATATACATCATGCAAATGAGTATATCGGGATATATAGCATTTGAAGAATCACTAAAAAATGATTTATGAAGTGTCTACATTATTCTAGATGAGTCATCAATAAAAAAGAACTCTACATAACCGTTTTTATTACAAAAATCCATTCTTTTATCGGCCGTAGGTATGTTCAAGCTTTAAATTCTGATGTTGTTTTCTTAAGGTGAAGAATATGAGTATGTTACGATAGTACTTTATATAAGCAATCACAAACTTGTGTGGGTGCTTTTACATTTCTTGGCAAGTAGATAACCTGTGCCTGCGAAGGCAATTGTTTAAAGCGATACTCAGCAAGTCTTCTCTCATTTCTTTCTTGAATAAGCTGAAAGTGCAAAGAAACAATTTCATCTTCAAGTCTTGAAACAGCACTCTCCAATGTGGCAATATTAGACAACAGTTTCTGGGCCTGTAAGTACATTTGAAAAAAATATATATACAAAAAAGATTGTCAGATATTAATTTTAGAAAGACAACTGGAAGTCAATTGGCCAAACCAAAAAATCTATTAAAGTGAGATCGAATCTGTGTATCGTAGAGGGAGTCATATTCCAAATGTATCACATATAATGAGGTCTAATTCCCAGTGTATCATAGGAAGCAAGAAGATAAGGTTCATGGGAAAGCAGAAGCTATGGATTTGAACTTCCAGAATCATGATAAACATTATCTGTAATTAAAGATTTGATTACAAGCTGAACAATGTTATTAGGATCAGGATCACACAAGAATCATCACGTGGACCTGACTGGATCAACAGACTGACAGATCATCTTTTACTTTATATAATTTAGAGGACTGGCAAATCAACCATTTATTTTGTAGTGTTAGATATAAACTAGTTTTCATGTAAATAAGCTGAATTTAACAAAAAGAATCAGCAAAAGCATCCAATTCGCAACAATGAAGAATATCTATATATCTTCTCATAAGGTATCACTTTTTCATATACAACTATCAAGTCTCAGAATTCATATTCAAGAATGTTCTAAAGACAGCTAGGAGAGCAAGGGGAAAATCGTACATCATTTGGAATGCATGACAAATCAGACAGTTCTGCGGCAACATGTTCTATGGCATTTTCTAAGACCACATGTAATTGCATCTCGTCTTCTAGCAACTGTCGAAGCCTTTGAACCTGAAATAAAATAACGTATATTGAGTCCCATAGGTAAAAATTGATAAGTATATTTACTATTGTATGGATTTGTTCAGTTTGCAAAAGACTTTAACTGTCGGTANGTTTCCGAGTCGACACTGATTGAGATGTGTCGCAACAACCTGTCGATCCATATCTTGTCCAAGATAGGGGCAGTAGAGACCCGGACTTGGAAGGAGCTTGTTCGCCAAGGTGAACAAGTTGAAAATATGATCAAGAGGCTGGAGGCCGAAGAGCCGCAGTCCAAAAAGGGAGCAGCGGAGCCAGCTGCGCCAAAGAATCCTCCTCGGTCGAGGGGAAAAGAAATCATGGCAGTCGACACCGTCCCAGCGCCGAAGGCCACTCAAAAGCCTAAACCCAGGCAATTTGAACCACGCCCCCAGCGACAATATGATTTCAAAGAAGACCAGGTGGTGGCGACTTTCGACACTCTACTCAAGAGTGGGCGGATTAAGTTGCCAGAAGCCGCCAAGCCTGAGGAGGCGGACAAAACCGGTGACCCAAGTTACTGTGCATATCACAGGTTCCTTGGCCATCACACAACCAAATGCTACGTCCTCAAGGACAAGCTCCAAGCCCTCTACGACGCGGGGGTTTTGAAGAAAGAGAAAGTCCAGAAGCAAGTGACTACGAACATGGTCACTTTAAGCTTCGGGACAGGTCTCCCAGAGGTTCAAGCCACTGCAGGGGTAATCCTTATCCCTAAGGCAGTCTTGAAGATCACTAACGATGATCCTCACCACCAGCGGGAAAAGGGTTTGGTCCCACAAACTCTGCCAGATGGGCAGGTGATGTGGGTCCATCCAAACCTCCTCCATTACGAGCAGTGGACTGCACAGCCTTCCAAGGAGGCTAAGAGGAAGCACTGCAACGTTGTCTCCACCATCCTAGGTAGAGATGACCTGGCGATGACTGCCCTAACCGACTCTGAAGAAGACACCAACGTCTTTGCCACGAGGGCAGGAAAAGAATTCGCGAAAGAATATCCCGCGAGGACGGAGAACCTGGCAGGACCTCCCGCGAGGCCAGTCGCAGCAACCCCTCCCAATCAAGACGGACCAAGCACAAGCCGCCAGCCTTTTCGGTTCAACGTGCTCGCGCAATTGAAAAGCATCCCCGCACGAATCACCATGTACTCCGGTTATCCAGCGTCTACCCGACAAGCCCCCTCCAAAAAGGCGCTTGGCCGACTCAGAGCGTTCTATAACCCATTTCTCGCAAAGAACAGAGCCCAGAACAGGGATGTACAACTTGCTTGCCAAGTCTCTGAACAGATGCAGGCCCGTGCATTACTTTCACCCCTGAAGAACGATGCTCATCAGAGCACATCTCACGACGCCGCTGTACTTCACAGGATACGTCGGCTCGTCGAAAGTGGATCGGATTCAGGTCGATCCAGGGTCCGCGCTGAGCATCGTGCCCCTGAAGTTGATCAAGCACTTGGGGATACCGCCAAAGAGCCTCTCCTCAACTGCGACTACCATCTTCGGCTTCAACGCCACGGGGCCACGGGGACTCGGCCGCTCGGCAAAATCCGCCTGAAATGTCGGATAGGCGACATGAAGACGGAGGTGACGTGCTACGTCATCGACGCTGAACCCTCGTACAACATACTTCTGGGGCACCCATGGATCCATGGCAACAGAATAGTCCCGTCCACATTACACCAGTGCTTGAAGTATGTGGACAACTATGAACGAGTCAGGACAGTAGTGGCCGACAAGCAGCCCTTCAAAGGCGTCGAAAACTACTTCACAGACTCCCTGTTGTACCAGGACCCCGACGCGCCACCAGTGGAGGAGCCAGAGAGCGGCAACGAGGCGGATAGCGAGCCTAAATACGGTGACAGCTTAATTCTGAATGACTTTGAGTCAATTGTAATTGGCTACGAGAGTCACCATGTAACCAACGTTGTTCAGGCGGAAAAATTTATCGTGAATGAGAAGTCCGACTTTGCTTATTTGTCGTCTTGTTCCACGTCCGAAGATGATGAGCCGAATGAAATATGGTCGAAACTCTACAGTGAGCCTTCCATACACCTACCGGTATGCTCATCATACGTCGCCAAGACGCAGCCGATCAGGTCATCGCAAGCTGTATTCGTTGTACCGGCCCGAAATAATTATCGAAAGGATATTATTTTCGGTCGAATCGATCATCCCCTGTGCACGCTATGGGACGAATCCGAGGACGAGGACCCAGCGCCCCAATTTTCGCAGTACAGTCGAGTTGCGAGACGAATGATGAGCGACATGGGGTATGACCTCACCAGCTTGGAGGGCCTAAATTACGGCCGAGGACGTAAGACGGTCATCAAACCCGCCTATGTCTCCAAAGGAAAGCCGTCAAATTACTTCAACAGGACTCGGAGAGGCTTAGGCTACTCCTCCTCCTCGTCGGAGCTGTGTTTCTACGTTGACGAGGACTCCGATTATGCATGCTCGGGGGACCAATCATCGACGACCTCGGCTTGGGACTCAGACGTCAGCGTGAGGGATCTTTTTGAAGGCCTTACAGTCAACATGGCTACAGTAGACCCCGTCGAGATGGCGGAGGACGAACAACTTCCACTCTATGACGAGACGTGGGATCGCCATGTTAATGCCCAGTGGAACAGTCGCTTCGAACAGAGTGAACCACCAACCGAAGATGAAATCCTCCAGGTGAACATGGGTACTGAGGCAAATCCCAAACCCATATTCATCAGCGGCAGTCTGCCCCCACAGGAAAAAGAGGACCTCATTGCCCTCATACGGGAATACATCGACGTCTTCGCCTGGAAATACGAGGACATGCCTGGCTTGGATCCGCGGGTCGCCACGCATCATCTCAACATCAGCCCTGACGCCAAGCCAATCAAATAACAGCAGAGGCGGTTTCGTCCCCAGATCATGGAGGCGATCGAAGCTTAAGTAAAGAATGATCGAGTCATCCGGCTTCATCAGAGAGGAGCAACACCCCGACTGGGTGGCGAATATTGTTCCAGTCTTGAAGAAGAACGGCAAGATCCGCATCTGCATCGACTTTAGGAACCTCAACGCCGCGTGCCCTAAAGACGAATTCCCTCTGCCCATCACGGATGTCATCATTGACAATACGTGCGGATTCGAGAGGATGTCCTTCATGGACGGCTTCTCGGGGTACAACCAAATCAAAATGCACCCCGAAGACGAGAAGCACACTGCATTCAGGACCCCCATGGGGGTGTACTGCTATACCGTCATGCCGTTCGGACTCAAGAACGCTGGCGCAACCTACCAGCGCGCCATGAGCATGATCTTTCGAGATCATTTGCGAAAGACGGTCGAATGCTATGTGGACGACTTGGTCGTGAAGAGTCGCCATAAGGAGGATCACCTCCAAGACTTGAAGGCTATGTTCGAACTCATGAGGACTCATCGGCTCAAGATGAATCCTACCTAGTCATTCTTGGGGATGTCTAGCGGTAAATTCCTCGGTTTCGTCGTCACAACGAAAGGGATCCGGATTGATCCAGACAAGGTGCGAGCCATTCAAGAGCTCCAGCCGCCCCGGAATCTTAAAGAGCTAAGAGGCCTTCAAGGACGACTGGCTTATATCCGAAGATTCATCTCGAATCTCTCGGACAAGTGCCAACCCTTCTCTAAGCTGATGAAGAAAGGTACCTCCTTCGTCTGGGATGAGCCGTGTCAAAAGGCCTTTGAAGAAATCAAAGCTTATCTCTCAAATCCGCCTGTCCTTGCGGCACCAATATCAGGGAGACCATTCCTCATATACATACGGGCTATGGAACACTCTCTAGGTGCCCTCTTGGCTCAAAACGACGATGCAGGCCATGAGCAAGGCATCTACTACCTGAGCAGAACCTTGCAGGGCGCCGAACAACGGTACCCAATGGTCGAGAAGGAATGCTTAGCCTTGGTGTTCGCTATCCAAAAGATGCGGCACTACTTGGTTGGCCAAACCATCCATGTCATCTCCCGGATGAATCCCATTCGGGTCTTCATGACACAACCTACAGCGTTAAACTGGCGCCTGGCCAGGTGGGCGCTTCTGCTCTCTCAATATGACATCCACTTCATACCGCAGAAATCAGTCAAGGGACAAGCCATCTGCGATCTCATGGCTAGTCACCCGCTGGGGGTGAAGACCGATTTATTTGAGGATCTACCAGATGAACCTCCCGAAGCCAATGTGACCTCCTCACCAGAGGCTCGCACAGGTGCGAGTGGTTCTATCTCTGCCAGAGTGGGGGTGGTCCTCACCTCTCCGCACGGCCATGTGTTACCCCGGGTCTTTTCCTTAACGGAACCGTGCACCAACAACGTAGACGAATACAACGCGTTGCTCATAGGGCTCAAGTTGGCCAAAGAGTTAGGGATCAAGCATCTGGAGGCTTATGGCGATTCGCAACTCATTGTTAAACAAATGACTGGCGAATATGAAGTCAGGAATGAAGATCTCGTCCCACTCCACAAGGCGGCCATCAGACTGGTGGAGTTATTCGAGAGTTTCCGCATTGAGCACGTGCTCCGCTCCAGGAACACTCATGCAGATGCCCTCGCATCCTTGGCAACCAATTTGGCCCAGCCTTTGGGGACGGCCCAAAGGGTCACAGTCGCCAGCCGAAAACTCTTTCGACTAAAAGACGTCCCGGAGGCGAACGCCACTCATCAAACGCCAGATCAGCCTAATCAAGAAGACTGGCGTCTACCGATCATCGACTATGTCTTATACAGCATATTGCCTGAAGACGCGAAGGAACGAGAGTCTATCCGACGACGTGCCTCGAGATTCTACTACGATTCAACCACTAAAACATTGTATCGAAGGTCGTACGATGGCTTATTGCTTCGCTGTCTTTCAAAGGCAGAGACGCAAGAGGCCATACGCGAAGCGCATGACGGCGTGTGCGGAGCCCATCAGCCTGGACCCAAGCTTTGGGATCGCCTACGGAGGATAGGCTACTTCTGGCCTGGGATGGTTACTGACGCAGTCGCTTATGC